GCATTTATGCCAAGATGATTATCATTCCTTATTATTAATTTGTTTAAGAAATTTTCACGTTCACCTTGTTTAGCATATTAAATAAAAGCCATTTTTTTTCCTACTCGAATATTACAACCAACTTATCTAATTCTTAACGCTTACTGCATTGGCGCGACGTTTTATCTTATTTTGATATGAAATTACAGTATATGCATTAGACTGAATTCATTTACTTCAGTAAGCTGAAGAACTTAGAATTTTTATATTAAATTATATTCTCGATTTTTTTTCTTTAAATTATCTATCTATAAAAATGAAATCTCCATCAACTTCAAATAAAAATCAAAATAATTCTATATTCTACGCTACATTTCTTGATGGTTTTCGTGGTGTAGCAGCTTTAGGTGTTGTTTATGCTCACACCCAGAAAATGTATAATCAACGTTTTGCATTTAGGACATTCGACTATTTGGGATCTTATGGAGTAATAATGTTTTTTGTGCTTTCCGCTTTTTTACTTACTCTTCGAATGTTATTGGATTGGGAACGGTATCACGAAAAGAGAGAAGAGAAAAAAAATTCAAATTCAGTTGTTGTAAATAAAATTGATCACCTTGAATGTGGTGAGGACCTCGAAAAAAACTTATCAAACGTTCCACTCTTATCATCGACGGATTCTGATAGCAATGTAATGTCTTATTATTTATATAATTGAAATGTTTTATAATTATTGCTAATCAATTATTAATAAAATATTAGATTGAAATATCCTCAATAGAAGAAAAAAAACCTGATAATTTTTTCTATTATATTCGAAAAAAAATATTAAATTATCAAATACCAATAAAATTTTGGCTAAAGTTCTTTCTTCGTCGATTTATGCGTGTATATCCACCGTATGCGATTCTTTTACTGTTTATTGCATATAATGACTTCATAAGAAGTGCATATAAAAATTTTATGGATTCATCGACTTTAATTCCGCATCTGCTTTTTCTAGCAGATAAATATCTGATTTTTTGGACTATTCCTATAGAGTTAACGGTATTTATTTTTCAATAATCTACAGAAAATTCGATATTTCGAATGAAACCATTCAGTGTCACTCGATATGCCATTCAAACTTTATATTAGTCGAGTGATGTACGAATGGCAGCTGGATGGTGCCATTCAACGCATCAAAATTTTTTTGATTTGATTAATGATTTTATTATAACATATTAAAATTATAAAACACATTTGTTACATATAGTACTATTTATGTATACCAATAATTGTCATTGGATATGTGGAGCTTGCTCGTTTTGGTGCTTTCCTTACGAACTATTACTTTAAGAAACCCGCAATTGGAGCTTGGTTATGTCGAATACTTGCTAATGTTATTATTGTGATTAAACGTACAGAATTATTAATAGCACACAGTGAAGACCGCAAAAAATTTCACAAAAGCAGTTTTTCGGATACTTTTCATATTTTTTTAGTTGGATCAATATGTGCAATTTGGTATAGAGAAATAATTCGTCTTGGATTGTTGCCATTGAGCTTAGAAGAAGAGAATTCTCTGGACGATAAATCAAATGATTGTAATATATCTACACTTAAAAGATCGAGATTTATTAAATTAATTATTAACAAACTACCGAGTCGACATCAGTTTGCAAGATGTTTTTTTGACTTTGGATGTTATTTCTTACTTCTCTTGAAGTTATGTACATTACCTCATATAGCTGAAAAAGTTTTTGGTTTACGTCGCACCCGTCAAATGATTTTAGAAAGAAAACTTGGTGGTTCGCTCGACGCAATGCTAATTTTATTTGGCCTACTTTCACGAAATGGCTCGTTTGTAAAGGCATTATCTTGTAATTTTTTACGTTTTTGTGGAAAAATTTCATTTAGCATATATTTATTACATCCAATTGCAATGACGTTTGTGAATAAATATGTGACTTCTATTGGACTTAAAGCTGCGAAAAAAGAAAAAAGTGCAGAAGAGAAAGCTAATGTGATATTGGATGCAGTAATGTTGTCATTTGCGACAACACTTATTTTAGCATGGATCTATTTTAAATGTGTTGAAAGACCTTTTATGAATTTAGCTAACTATATTGCGAAGAGATGGTTAGGTGAGGTGAAGTCTGATATTAAAAAAAATTAATTTATATCCATGATTTGTCATGTAATAATAAATTTATTAATTTTATCGAGCTTAAAATTTTGACTTATATTATAAATAGTTTCTTTTAACCAACCAAACATATGATTACAATCAGCCTCTATATAGTCACACACTATATATTCATATTTTTACGTATATAATTATATACCTAATATACACAAATTGTTTATAATCACTATCAACATTACTATTATCCCCTTGCAGATTTTTTATTTTAAACTTTAAACTTTGATATAAGATTTAATAAATGTATATGTAGTAATAAACTCAATTTTGACAATTTACTAGCATTCTGTCCACGGAATTTTGTTAAACGTAAATTATAAATGATCATTATATTCACTAATCAAATCAACATCAACTTGAATAAGGGACTATCTATCTATGTATTAATTACGGGCGTTCTCAAGTATTTCAACCAATGGGCAAATATATCATAAATAATTTAGAAATTAAATTTTAATTAATTTATTAGAAAATTTCTTGGCTTGTACGGTATTAATTTACAAATCCGTGTAACATGCCAATCAAAACAATTTTCATAACAATCAAATAAAGGTGTGCGAACTGTAAACTATGACTGTAACTACATTCAATTAAAAATAAATAACTTTTCGGATTTAAGGTTTACTGTAAATATTTCAACTGCTTTTTTACTATAGAAAATTAAATTACAAATTAAATTCTTGGAAACAGATAAATATTCAATCGAATAGAGATATCTTATATTATGTTATACGACAAATTAAAATTTGCGTCGATCAAAATTTCAATACAGAGTTTAATTAGGGTTAGGGTGAAACCCTATATTAAGATAAGGGTAGTTATAAGTGGCATTATAAATTTGATAATATAAGTTGTTCTTTTTTGATACATATAAATTTAAGTTATGCAATTTTGAATTTTGTAATTAATATCATTGCCGTTATTAGCCGGCTGATCAGACTATCAGCTAGCTAACTTAATCGGCTTGGAACACTGGAGAGGAATTTTTTTTTTTTTTGCTAGAACACAAAAGGTACAGTATCTCATAATCGTAATTTTGCGGTAAAGGAAGTTTTTAATGAAAGTTAATTGGCTTTTATAATACCTGTGTATGATAAATGT